TGACGTTGTACATGTTCTTTTAATAACTTTATATCTTTGTAGAATGTAGTCAGTTTTCATAGTCCAATGTAAATCTTCATACATACGTATGACGTTGTACATGTTCTTTTAATAACTTTATATCTTTGTAGAATGTAGTCAGTCTTCATAGTCCAATGTAAATCTTCATACATACATATGACGTTGTACATGTTCTATTAATAACTTTATATCTTTGTAGAATGTAGTCAGTTTTCATAGTCCAACGTAAATGTTTATACATACGTATGACGTTGTACATGTTCTTTTAATAACTTTATATCTTTGAAGAATGTAGTCAGTCTTCATAGTCCAATGTAAATCTTCATACATACATATGACGTTGTACATGTTCTATTAATAACTTTATATCTTTGTAGAATGTAGTCAGTTTTCATAGTCCAATGTAAATGTTCATACATGTTATACAATGTTCTTTTAATAACTTTTTATCATTCCATTTGTGGTGTAACCTCAATATTTAACCAATACAGTACAGATATCAGGGACATCCTTTCTGAACATATTTCCCAATCCAAATTTGATCCTTTTAGTCGCGAATAGTAAAATTCTTCACATTACGAAGGTTTTAACAACACCTGTTAATTTCTTCCATATATTTCTTACGTCGCCTGTTCGTCAGTAAATACACAGTACTTACATCTCCTCTCTATAAAGTTAAAGCGACTTGACTGACGTTAAAGTAAACACTTACGAATTTAAATACTTTAACACTTCTGAAATTAACGTATCGATAAAATTTTTTACTTTTATTGGCTCGAGGTGCATATGGCCTTCCAAACATACAATAACTAATCCTCTAACGTCTTTGAACAAAATTTGTACGCCCGTTTCAAACATCGAACTTTATATTTGTAAACGAAAATAAGGCCCTGTTTACTGTATGGAATTGCTATCGTTGCAGGTTAAATTTTCTATGTATTAAAAGTCAGTGATATCGTTAAATGCAAAAAACACAAGTATATTGACTAAAATCTATCAACTTAATAAGTATTTACTCCAAACTGTTACCTCTTGAAACCAAATGAAGATATCTTGATGAGTAAATCTGGTATATAGTGTAAACGCAGCCAAAGCCTTAAATTTTGTCAAATGAAGCCTCAATATAACATGATTATGCAATTAAGAAATAAAAGATGTGTCACGTTTTTGCACGGGCTTATGCAAACCGAGGAGAACTTTGGGAGAACTCGAGAGGTTGCCCAAATTTTATTACTCTTTCCTTAGTTATCCCTAATATTTGTAAAGTAAGAAAAACTTAAGAACTTAAGATTTTTAAATTTTAAAATTAGAGAAGAACTTGTAAACACATTTATCATTAATTCATGTCAATATTTTACTGTATATAATCTACTTATATTTAAATAAAATACCACTGTATCACATTACTACCATATATGTTGTATCATTTACATAATATTGTCACTAATACTGAAGATGACATCACGAGATGTTGAAACATGTTTATTTTGAAAAACTCCAATGTTTACCTTAGTCATCTAAAGACAACAAAATGTACGCTATACGTACCTGTTTTTTATAAGATGACCCGAACTTAGAACCTGAAAAATCTGTTACATTAAAGTGTTTAAAGCACATGGATCTTCAAAATTATCAGTAAAACGTTTATTGTTGTTTACAATTGTTACAAGTTAAAACAGTAGCTGTATATTGTACTTTGTATTACCATCAACATTATAATGATAAATTTTACTTTAAAAAATGAAAACAGAAAGCAAAGTTTTTCATTCTTCAATATCTTAATCAGAAAAATTTTACTCAAAAAAATTCAATTTCTTAATTCAAATGAACTTGTGTTACTCGTGTCAAAATCGTAAAAGTTATATTTATTTATTTTCATCACAGTTATTAACATGACGTTATGATGATGTTTTTACATGACGGGAATTGAGATTTTTATTAAGTTCTAGCTTGAACTTAAAGTAGACGAAACGAAGTAACAAAGTAATAAAATTATGAAATCATTAAAATAATCTCACTTAGGCATTTGCATCAGTTGCATCATCCTGGATCCACGACTAACAATGTTCCATGTGATACTCTACGATATCAGCTAAGGTATTGTCTCAATCATTCGGATATGGATTAGATGTGAAAAGCACACGTTATACGAAATTCCCATCAAAAACAATTTTCTCGTTCAAAGTAGAAAATTGTTTAGTTTAATGATAGATTTGTGTGTCGGTAAACAGTAGCAAATTCCGTGTTCGTTAAAAATGGAGAATTTTACAAAAATGACTATATACCTTCAAGACCATATTTTCAGACTTCAAAGTGCATTTTAATCTTTCTCTTATACTTTTTTGACATTTTGGCTTTTTGAATCGCTTCAAAGGTATGTGAAAATTATTGTTTGTAAGGGTTCACCTGGGGCGCGGAATTTCGGGTAAAATCCCCATTGCTTTTTCCTGTTCAGTATTCTCCAAGTCCTCGTGCCTTCGTACTCGGTCTTGGTTTATGCAGTTTAGGATTTCCATTAGGGATTTTTTATTTCGGTTAAGTCTAAAAAAGATAGTGACCTTAGTGAGGTCACGTGTAAGGTCACGTGTGAGGACAGCTAAAGTTAATGTGAACATGAACCATTTTTGACCGTCTGATAATCTTCGCAAGATAAAATTTCTGAAATATTTTACGAATTGATGATTTAATTTACCAAAAATGGCACACACATCTTTTAGAAGCGGTACAATTTAGTCTTTGGTTTCGATTCCCAATACACTGTTCTTGTGTCAGAAATGCCCATATTATAGTTGAGATTTTTAAGTAAGTTCTGACGTTAACATCTAAAATTGTACATTGTAATAGGAAAGGCATTTATGGCTTCACATATATTTAAAATAATTATGTTCTCAGTTATAATTTTATTGGCCAATGCATGTGGTTCAGTCTGAAAACGAATTATTTTGAAATTCATTCACTCGGAAGAAGTCTTTAAAGTAAAGAAGATGTTTTTTTCTTTTTATGTAGTTTATGTGTAGAAAAAATAGCCATTTTTCATAGCATATAATAGTACATACGAATGCTTCAATTTGATTAAATGAAATTTTGGCTTTCTAAAAATGTTCATAATGGTTATTGACACTTCCATCCAATTTTGGGGGTAAATGAGATTATAATTTACATTCTTTTCACTCAAATGAAAGGTGATCCTCTAAATGGTGGATGGTGAATTTCAGCAGGTGATTTATCAGCTTTATCTACCGCTTCATAAGTTATAAAGCATACATATTTACTAAGTGGTATAAAATATCCCTTACAATTCAGCCCAATGTTATACTTGGAAATGTACAACTACTTATGACGTTTAAAGTGCCCATGACATGAAAATTTTTTATGTTTGCAATGACCAGAACTTTTAAAATGACAGTGTACTTTCTAAAAAAGGTAATGCAGATCACTTTTAATTCTTGAGATATTGAGGTTTATGCTTTGTCCGATTTAACTAACTTGTGACGTCATATTGCATAATGACTTCTAAAAATTTTTCTAATACTCTTCATTTTCCTGACAACTTTAGGTTGATACTAATAGGCAGCATTTTATACCATTAAACACACCACAACAAATTAAACTATGTCCTTGTGAAGTAAAGTATCGTTAAATATACCTAATACTCTTAACTCTCATTATGCAATGTGACGTCACAGGTTAGATAAATCGGACAAAGCATAAACCTCAATATCTCAAGAATTAAAAGTGATCTGCATAAACTGTTTTAGAAAGTACACTGTCATTTTAAAAGTTCTGGTCATTGCAAATATAAAAATTTTCGTGTCATAGGTCCTTAAAAAAAGCATACTATTTGGTTTATAAACGAATGCAAAATAATTTATAGTCTTGTGAAGATTGATGAAGATTAGTTACTATTACAAGTGAATCCTCGCTGCCAAAGTCAAACACGGTTGTACATTCCAGAAAATCAAGCTGTCATATGTTACAACTCATTGTAAAATAGGAACGTTTCTAAAATCTTAATTAAATAGATGCTGTACACTTTAGAGTAAATCCAAACAACTTAAGAGGCAAAAATGTCAGCCTTCGTCAATTCAAGAAAAATCTTTCGCACTTATTATACATTATATAAATCGTGTTGTTTTTAATGTTTGCAACGCAGTGTTTAAAAAGTTGCAGTAACAGGAGAAAGCTGTAGCATTGTTCTTTGTCATTTAGAAATTATTTACGTTCTTTTGCTGTTATAGTATGCTCTTTGCAAAGTTAATTCAATAAAATAAAAAAGCCCAAAAGCCCAAAACTTATATAAATGATTTACAAAACTTTAAACTAAAACTGTCACACAACTAATACTGAGTTCTTCCATGTGACATAAATGTGCGGATACCTACCAGATGATATGGGATCTGAGATGATAAAATCAACATTTTTCACTATTTTCTATCTGTGGAGTAAATACAAGGTCTTCCAGCAGTTATAAGATTATTTTGAAACTTTCCTCAGTGAATGTGAGTGCGAGAGTGTGTTTAGAATATAGGCAATAGAGAGCGCCGTAGTTAACCTTACGTGTATTTAGGTGTATATTCAATATTCATTTAAGAAATGTTAAATACATAGCACTTGCATTATAGTTGTGCGGATTTAGGCACAAAATAATTGTCATGGTTACAGCGCATGAAATAAGCAAAACATCAGAAAATGAGGAAAACTATAAATATTTTTCTATAAAACTAATTAAACATTATTGAGTCCATTTACAAATTATTAGACGAAATGCTGTCAATCACTCAATCTCATGAAAATGTTATTTAACTATTTTATGTGGTTCAGTTACGTAATTAATGTGAGATAGTAAAACACAAAAGATTCTACTTATGGAATTATGCACAACTTCTGATGGTAAGTTTTATACGATAAGGAGCTCCCAAGAGCTCAAAACACCAATGCCAGACTTTTAGTAATTATAATAATTTTAGAAATACAATTCCTTATCGTAAATGAGTTTATTATGTTGGATGAATGTAGTGCAAAATTTATCAGTGCAGCTAAACATAAAAGTTAACTTTTCATGTCATATTCGCCTTCAGTCTTTTTCCAAAACAATTTATAGTAAAAATTAAATAATCAGGTATGTTACATTGTATCAATGAATACCACAGGCTATAGATTCAGCAGAAATGTGGTGAAATATCATCTAAATACGTCGTGGAAACTGTTTTTCTTTATATCTGTAAAATAAGATCTTTACAGTATGAATGATTTCTTAACAACTACTTTTTTTACCCCTAACAGGTTCTGTTTTGTCTAAATTGTTTATTGATGTAGTTCGCTTTCATTAAAATTAAAAAAGTTCTTGAGTTCTGGTTTGTTTCTCAATTCTTCATTTGACCTGACAGCAGCATGTACCCCAACAGGGAGATTAGGAATTGCTCGGAGAAAATACGCCCTGTAATCGCCAATCTTGTAAAATAATTCTGGTTGTGGTAGAGGTCGATCGTTCCAATGCTGGCGAGTATTTCGAATGAGCCTTAAGCATTCTGCCCATGAAGATGTATAATGGACCTTATAAAGTTTTCCATTGTTCTCGTACGTGCGAAAATAATCATAGACATCCCAATTAATTTGACTTTTCCAAAGTACGCATTCGCTATTCAATTGTTGAACGACCCTTGACAGGAGATCATTTGTCTTAATCTGATGAAGATTCCCAACTTCACATAACATTTCAAACTTCTCATCATCTGACATGAGAAATGGGTGTTTTAATGCTTCGTTAGAATATGGTCTGTCTTCAGGTTTTAGTTTTAACATCCACGACAGGAGGTCCTTTAGTGTTTCATTCTCGATTTCATCCAAACCAACAGGGTTTCCATTCAGCATGTTGTCCAGTCTATACCGTTTAATTCCAAAAGGATGTTTTCCTTTTGTTGTTACATAATAAGCTACCATCCCTGCATTCTAAAATAATAAAAAGCGTTAGATCAAAATGCAATTTCACAACATTGAGTTTCTTTACAACTTACAAATGTTTACATTCCTACACTTACATATACATCAGACCTTCTTTTGTAACGCGCTTTGTTTACTGAATCATCATCTTCGCAATATGATTCAGGAGCTATCCAATGCAAAGTTCCCATGGAAGAATTGCTTTTATATGTTGTAGTGTCATTCTTCATTATTCGACTTATGCCAAAGTCAGCTATCAAAAATTTGCTTTTTGAGTCTCGCAGAACATTTGAAGGCTTCAAATCCCGATGTAGAATAGGATTTGGGTCGCTATGAAGATCAGCTAATCCTTTTAAAATTTGTCTAAGAATATCAGGAAGAGCTTTTTGAAGATCATGCAAAGTAGAATCTTTCACAAACTTCACCAGTGATTCTTCACATAAGTCTAAGATCAAATAAACATAATCCGTTCCATTATCTTCGTCTAAGTAGAAATAATTCACAACATATTTCGACTTTCTTGCTTTAGTATCATTCAAAATGTTCTTTTCTTGCTGTGCAAGCTGGATAAAGCTATCTCGATGTATTCGTTTGACTGCTTTACCGTAACCATCCTTACCCAGTCCAAGATAAACACGGGTTGCATTACTTCCTTCGCCAATGCAAAATTCTTCTGAGAAAATTACACGTACATTGCCCACCACTTTAACCTCAACACTGCGATTGCGCCCATATTCAATTAATTTTAAAAACAAGTCTCTATGTTTCGTTGGTTCATCAATGTATTTCCACTTTTCTAGATAAAAATATTATAATCAAGGGTTAAAGAAACAAAATAAATACATCAAAATAGCTTAAATTTCCCCAATTAGGAAAGTATACTGATACCGTACACTTTTAAAAAAACGTATCAACAATTATTAGACATTTCATAAATTTTTTAACTGGTAACATTCGAGGTTAGCTTATACCAAACAATTAATCCCAAAACTTCTCTCTGCAGTAATTTCATGAATTTTTCTTAAGGAGTAACCTTGCGTTTTTCAAAAATATTAAATTAAAATTTTGAGAGCATATATTTTTTAGAGTCTAAAAATTTTTTATATCAAAAGATAACAAAATAGCTTCATTCAATTTTTCTTTCTATTCTCGACACTCGTCTTTTAGATAGACTATGTTATGTTTGTTGCCAAACATTAACATTGAAGATCGATCTCAACAATTATTCTCTCAAACCTTGTTTGGACATCTTAAAGTGCCAATGAAACGAAAATTTTGTTAGTTAAATTATATCATTATTGACCAGAACTTTTGAAATGACAGAGTGCTTTCTAAAACCTTCTCTTCATGACTTTTTTCATTCTGAAAATACTGAAGTCCTTGCAATTACCAATTTATCTAACTTGTAACTTAATATTGCATGCAAAATGAGTTGCTGCAATGTTTCAAATACCCTCAATTTTCCTGACAACTTTAGGTTGATAAAGGTACGCACTAATTTATATTATTAACACATCACAAAGAAGGAAACTCCGCCATGTTAAAATAATGTATCAGCAAATTTATTTAATATATCTAGTTCTCATTATGCAATGTGACATCAGATAAATCGGACATAATAAAACTTCAATATCTCTAGAATGAAAGGTGATATGCATGAACTAGTACAGGAAGTCCATTATCACATTAAAATGTCTGTTCAATAAAAGTATAACACAGGTTGCTAAATTTTTGTTTCATAGGCATTTTATGCTTTAACTCTAAATTATCTGACACGTACTGTTTCTCTTATTCACCTTGGTAAAGTGAACATCGTTATCTTTATTTCTGCAATCTGAAAGTCTACCTTATGCTTTTTCTCATTCTCTTGCAACATTGTTAGTATTAAAATAGAGACTTTGTTGTGGTGACAAATCTGAAAATTGTTTTGAAGATCGCAAATACCACAGTGAGTTACTTTTACCATTCACCATGATATTTGCGATCTTCAAAACGATTGCTAGTACTGTTTTTATTTCGCCGGATTGAAAATGGTTATTTGCAGTTTTCAATAAACAATTAAGCATATGATGATTTATTTGTGACAAACAATTTGTCTGTCATTTGTCTATTGTGTCAGGGTTTTCGTTATCGAGAAAATTTTCTTTTTGAGGAAAATTAGACCATTAAACTTACACTTACCAAGCTCCACGTTATTTCTTATATCTTCCATATCTTCTTTTGTTTTCTCAACAACAGTACTCCATTTTTGTAACCTTTCAAGATACCTTGCCTCATCAGTACTGAGGGGAGCTTTCTTTAATTCATCTATTTCAGTTTGTTGAATACCCAGACCAACCAATGCTTTTGAAATTTCCTGCCACAAGTACTCAAACTCACTGTCATTTAAACCAGTTGTAGTTATTTGACTATACACTTTGTTTCGATAAAACTATATTCTTGCAATCTTTGCTGAGATTGAGGCATCTGAAGAGGAAGGAAGATTATCCCATCCTGTAGTTGGCGCTCTTAGACCACATATATTTCGCAATAAGACAGTTAATAATTTGATGTCAAAGTTTTCAATGTCAGGGTCACCAATGGACGGGTAAAGAAGATCCCATTGCTCATTCTTGATGACTTTAAATTTCAAAGATGTTAGTGTCTTCTTTGTAGAGGGATCTTTAAGTTTACTAGCTAAACTTGATGGCTTTAATAAAGATTGCAGTGTTGTTTTTAAGGCTTGGGTTCCTTTATTGATTAAAAGTTTACTCAAACGAGATCTATTTTCCTCAATTTTTAATTTTTCATGTGGCGAAGCCATTTTTTATTCTAGAAATGAGGAATGAGTTTGTGAAAAAAGGTATAATTTAAAATGTACAAAATGTTCACAAAATGTTCACAAAAGGATAAATTAAAAATAGTACTACAAGTCATTTATAAAGACTTGTGTGCTTCATTTCTTTCTCTCGATAAAATTGTGCTCACTGCCTTGTGACATGACCCAGTAATTGATCTTACATCAAGGCATTAAAATAGTAGACTTGATATAATGAAAAAAAAATTAAAATGATAGTATTTTCGCCTACTCAGCGCGAGAGGGAGCATTTACCTTGCAATAGTAAATCCTAGTTAATAAATAATATATCATATTTGTTTAACAATCGTGTGGTGAAGAGATACGTCGTTCTTTTAACAGGATATATCAAACTGGTTTGCTGTGTTGTAGGAATATTTGTTTATTAACATCTTGATAGGACTATATTGCCGATTGTTCTGTTCCAATTTATATTTTTGATAGACGGCAGCTTAGCAGACAACCGAAGCGCTTGTGACTGCGGGCTCGTTTTTGCTTGGGATTATAGGGTAGGGTTTGGGTCAGCGTCCAAGGTGTCCGCTAGACTGCAGTAGTCCCTCATAGGACAATAACTTAAGTCATTAAATAATAAGTTTACATTTTCCTCACCAAAACACAGAACACAGGGTGAGAGATAAACAACGCGACATATGAATAAAATACCGAACAAAAAACAAGTACGGACTGCACAGAGTATCAAGTTCGTTGTATTTTTTGCCTAAACGAGATATATCCGACGTCTGTAATCACCAGTAAAGCATATAAATGAATGATATTTTAAGCTGCAAGGTTTTGACTAAAGTCACTGAAACAAAGTGCAGATTATACGCTCGAAAGCATAGGTATTTGAAGAACAACATAAATATTGACTTTACTTAAAACAATTCTATTCGTGATCGTTCATATATGCGACTATCACCAATGACACAGCCGAGGATATCACGACGAACAAACACTGCCTGTCTCACTGCCTCACTCAGACACTTTCAGTATGGCATAGTGGTTAGCCACGCATGCACAGCGGCTACCGACAAAAACTAACTAGTGATAAATTATATTATTGTTATAATACAGTATGACTTGATGTCTATAACTGCTCCCCCCCAAAAAAAATAGTGTTGCTCCCCCAAATTTTACATCCTAGCCACATGCCTGCTCATATTGATAACACTTAAAGCGTGATTCCGTTTGAAGATGCTTCGAGAAATTCTAAAATCTTATCAATTGATGAATGTCTTCTGCATGATGAGATAACGTAAGAAAAGTACAAATGATACACAAATCATTCTTTACTTTTTCTATAAACTTCAATTTTGCAATTTTCATGTGTCCAATTGGGGAGACGCCAGCCCCTGTTATATTACTGGCCCAAGGCAAAATGCCCTATTGCCTATCACGTCATGACAGGCCTGACCTGACAGTCAGTGAAATTTCTCGACTTTGTGTTGTTACACGATTTAATTCAAGTAACTAAAACAGTTAGACACGTTGCAAAACAAAACAAGTATCTTGATTTCAGTTTCTCAGTGTACATGCTAAATCAAAGTTTATCTAACAATAAATTACGTGCAAAATGAATGATGGTGAAATATGTACGTTATCTGGCGTTCATTTTGACAACTTGAACATAATCTTTACTTAACATTTATACATTGTATTGTTTACTAAAGTCTATATATATTAAAAAATAATGATTGATGATGAAATATATAAGTTATCATGAGTTCATTTTGACCTCTGGAACATAATCTTTACTTTACAATGTTGGAAAATTTATGTTATTTTTGTGAAAAGACTTATCATGTGAGTTTTGTTTTTGGGGGGATAAAAATTATGATGTTCGTATGTTGCTAATAAGCGTATTTCCTTTGTTTTAAAAAATAAAGCAAAAATATCAACCTGAGTGTGAGTAAATTAGGAAACTTCGAAGAAACATTTCCCTGTTTCCGAAAACATTTGTACATTATACTGTTTACATAAGTTTAATTCTATTTAAAACGAAATGTCAGATTATGAGGTGCCATCTGCATATGTCAAGAGCATCACTGACTCAGAATTATTTATTATCAAATCTTTTCTTCGTGTAAGAGCCGCAATTTTTATAGTGGATAATTTGAAACAAAAAATGAAACCTACTTTCCAGTCGTGGTATTAGATATAGCTTTAAAAGTCACTTATAGAATCATTCAAACGATTTTCATTTGGAATGGAAATAAACATTGATTTGTTTATAGTCATACTTTATACTACGCAATGCTTCGGTATCAAATTTGTTAAGTTAGAGATGTAAATACAAAATCTCGGTTAACTTACGTAAAATTACCTTTGTTTTAGAAATAAGACTTCATATACGACGATCGTGTGGACAAAATTATGTTTGCTTTAGTTCTTTACATGTTACGTACCTAACAAAGATGAGAAATTTAATATAAAAACGCGACTACATACATATCAGTTAAAAAATGGTGATCATAAATCATAATCTCATGAAGAGTACATATTTAACATTGAGATTAGTCAAATTCCAAGTGAGTACTGTTAAGTCTTATAAAGTTTCACAAGTTTTATCTCAGGAATAGAGAATCACCTATCTAAGACAGGATTTGAATATCAATGATTACGACACAATTTTCGATACTCTAAATGAATTTTCATTTCATAAGTCAGTTCTTATTATAAAAAACCTTTGTTATTGAATAAACCATTGTAAATTATGAATACATTTCAAACATCAACTACACGCAATTATAATTACTTATGATCAATAAAGACACTGTAGATACAGCAGTAAAGGTTGCAATAAAAGTAAACCTTAAAACTGTTATACAAACATGATTAAAAGTATAATTTTAAAAGCACACTGTGTTGTATGAATCAACATGTCACAAAAATAGATTCAGTCGTGTTCTTCCTCTATGTGTAAATTTATTCTTCCTGTGTTTAACATTTGCTTACTTTTCAAATTTTCTTACTTTTAAAAAAATGGTTTGTTGTATACAACTATCAACATTTTGCTAGACACACAGAGATTAGTCAAAAGTGGCGTCAGCAAAGAATGGAGGTGATGCATGATTGGACATGCTATCCTCCCTACATAAATTTTCACAGATTCCCATTTTTTCCATAGACAAGTATGCTATTTCACCTTTCCCATACCTTTGAACAGGTTTTGCTTTCCTTTACCATGCAGCTTATTGTCAATAGTTAGAAAGTTGGTATATGAATTTAGATATGATTTCTCGTGCATGTTCAGTCATACTTTATCGGATGTTACTTTAGCTAATTTGTTATGTCCGTAATGTAGTTCTAAAATATCGCTTAATTTTTCTAAAATTACTTCCGTTTTAGAAGTAAGACGACCGTGTGAACAAAATTATGCTTGCTTTAGTTCTTTACATGTCACATACTCAACAAACGGATGAGAGATTTAATATAAAGAACGCGACCACATACATATGAGATTAAAATGATAATGAAAGTTCATACCTTATTGTAATATCAATCTTTTATCCTTGTGAGTTTTGTCACATAAACACATTTGAATAACGAACGAAGATGAAGAGTGCGTCAGGATCTCCTTCAACAAACAGTATTAAAACACCTTAATGACGTCTATGTAGAACATTCTAGTTATATAACATGAGTATACATCACTGACTAAAAACAATTGTTATAGAAATAAAAATACATAAATAAGAACCTCAAGCAGAGTACATAATAACATTGAGATTGGACAAATTCCAAAGGACTGCTGCTAAGTCTTATAAAGTTTCACAAGTTTTAATTCAGGAAGAGAGAATCGCCTATCTTAGACAGGATTTGAATGCCAATGATTAAGACACGATTTTCAAAACTGTGAACGGATTTTTCCCTTCATTAATAAAAATTCCATACATGTATATGTAATGTTCACTATGTTTCTCACTATTGATTCGTCTATTTGATCTTAAACGCTCACGAAACCGTTGTATAGTGGAAGAATCGTCTCTCGCTTGTCGCTCTACGATAAGAAAAACATACGCGTATGATACGAGAACGATACGCGTTTGATACGAGAACGATACGCGTATGATACGAGAACGATACGCGTATGATACGAGAACGATACGCGTATGATACGAGAACGATACAAGTATGATACGAGAACGATACAAGTATGATACGGAAACGATATGCGTATGATACAAGAACGATGCGCGTATGATACGAGAACGATACGCGTATGATACGAGAACGATACACGTATGATACGAGAACGATACGCGTATGATACGAGAGCGAAACGCGTATGATACAAGATATTGACATTTGATAACATAGCCTCTGATAACATTGTGTTCATGAAAGCTGTTGTGGACTTTTGACACTCACATGACTCTTCGTTCAATTGAGAGCAATCAGTTTGCATGAAGTTCTCAAACACGGATTCAACATAGTCTATGACAAGAAAAATTGGAATATATTTTGTGTAAATGCTAGTTTTCTTTCAACTGCATGTTTGTCACTAATAAATGAAAGCACATTTACCAAAGTTCAGTTTCACACGGACACTCCTAATTGTGGCTTCACCATTTTAAATTTAGGATATACAACTGAAACACACTCTGTGCCATCATCATTTTTCTTTTCCTCTCTCCTTAAGTTAACATTGAAATGCATTGCTGCTATGATATGTCTGGGAAAAGATTACATTATTTAGTTTAGTAAATTAGTAATGCAAATGACGACCAAATATACATTGCTTTCTACTTTGTAGAGTTTAATGCAAATATTTTTAAGACATTATGATAGTACCTTGTTACCATTCCTTGATATGTAAGGACAATCATCTTTGGAACAAAGTTGTTCAAAACAGAGTGGAAGCCTTTCAAGCAACTTGTTCGAAAAAGATGGGAGGCTTTTATAATTCCTTTCTTTAATTCCTTATTTGTAAAGGCTGAAACACACTGTGCAGTCGCTTTGGTCGCGCGACTAAAGCGAATTGATGCGGCGCGTTAGTCGCTTGAACGTCAGAAACACACATGCAAAAGCGAGCATTGCGACCAAATTTCGACTATCAACATGGCGTCTAGTCATCAGGCTAAGTTACTAGCATCTGTTTGCATTTTGTACGAGCTGGAAGAGGTTGAAAAACGGAAAAAAAATGATAAAATGAAAAGGTGGTGGGTTCGTCAATTAAACAGGCAAAGGAGAGCACAATGAGATTTTCTGCACTTGGTTCAAGAACTAAGAACCGATGAGGAGCAGTTTAATCTGTATTTTCGTATGAGCCCTCAAGTATTTAATGATTTGCTGGCTTTGGTTGGTCCATCTCTTCGTAGGCAAGATACTCAAATGAGGCAATCAGTTGGACCTGCTGAAAGACTAGCAATCACATTAAGAAGATTGGCTACAGGTGATAGCCCACAGTCTATAGCATTTGCTTATCGTCGTGGGGCTAGCACAGTTCGTGCGGTTGTTTACGATACGTGTAATGCACTTTGGAGAGTTCTTGTCCCCACATACATGAAGGCTCCTTCGCAACCTAGTGACTGGAAGAAAATATCTGAAGGGTAAAGTTAAAACATGATTATGAGAAAGGGTTACATTATTGTAGACTTGTAGTGACACTGCATCATTGTTTGTTGTATGCTTTCAGATTTGCTTATACATGGAATTTTCCAAACTGCATTGGAGCACTAGATGGAAAACATATCGCAATTCAGGCTCCGAGAAACTCTGGATCTTTATATTTCAATTATAAAAAACACTTTTCCTTGGTGTTAATGGCTTTGTGCGATTCCCAGTACAAATTTATCTTTGTGGATATTGGTGAAGCTGAAAGATGGAGTGATGGGGGAGTTTTTGCTAATTCACAATTTGGATCAGCTTTTTTAAATGGTATCATATCTCTTTAAAGTATTCAGTGTTGAAAGTAGTATTCACCTTACAAATTTTATTTGATAGGTGAGATGCATCTACCTGCTGATGAGCCTTTACCAGGAACAAATGAAAGCCTTCCCTATACTGTGGTTGCAGATGAGGCATTTCCTCTTAAAACCTGGATGATGCGACCTTATCTAGGAAGGGTACTGGATTGCCTTCAAAAGAGAGTTTTCAACTACAGATTGTCAAGAGCTCGGCGAACAATAGAAAACACCTTTGGTTTGTATTTACATGCTCATTTTCTTTATGGAGTTTTGAATCAAACACTTTTCAATATTCTCTTCAATTGATATTTGTATCAGGTATAATGGTATCCAAGTGGCGAATACTTAAAACAACCATTATAGCAGAACCAGAAAATGTGTCCAAAATTGTCAAGGCTACTTGCATTTTGCACAATTTCCTCCGAACACGCCATGTTTCCTACAGTCCAGCTGGTTTCACAGATACTGTGGATCCATCAGGAAATGTTCATGAAGGGTCTTGTAGGCAAGAAACAACCCGTGTGCTTGAACCATTAGCTCGCAACAAACAAAGAAACTACAGTAGTGAAGCATCCAAAATCAGAGAAAAGTTTGCAATGTATTTTAATTCAGAAGTTGGTCAACTTTCATGGCAGCAGGAATATGTGAAAAGAACTCATTGATATAATTTTATTTTACTTTTTTGTTGTAATATAGATAAAGCACAATTATTTTTCATTACATTCAATGTCAAAAAGAACATCCTGGATTCTTTTTTAGCCAGTGCTTTAAGGTAATCAGAAGGAAGCTTTCTGATTTGTAAAGCTATGCTTCTGCCAAAATGTTCATACTCGTCCATTGATGATTCAGTTGGGGGAGATGCTGATTGTTGAGTAATTTTTTCCAAACTGCTCAGCAACCGCAGCTGGTATTCATTAGGACCATCATCTTGAGCTCTCTTTCTCTTTTTGTTTGATCGTGGAGGTGGTGCCGATGGTGTTGCTGCTCTAAATGATGAAGCTGAGGTGGATGAATTATATGATGGTGATGATATGGGTTGGAATGTGATTGAGTGCAAAGTCGGATCGACTGATTCAGAAAACTGACTGCTCTCCAGATCATCTACTGCGAGTGTCAATGTACCAATGCTGTTACTTTCATCTGTAACTTCATTGACTGATTCATCTTCAATCACAGTGACAGACATGTTAGTTGATGTTCTATATAAAGAATTAACACTTTTGAAACCCACGATCATAATGCTACTTAACACATTCAGCCCTATACAGTAACACAATAATAACAGGAGACATTAATGTGAATATGTATGCCTTACCGTCGGCGCTTTCTGTAATCGTCCAACCATTGTCATCAAACCCCAAAACTCCCATGATGATGTGGATGAGGCTGGAGCTCCTGATTTTATGGCAGCATCGTTTTTCTTTTTGTATCTGACGTATACATCCCTAAGGCTTTTTATTTTTGCCTTAAGCTCCTTAACTGATAAAATTGATAAAACAAAATTATGCTCAATATCTCAAACAATCCAAATTTCAACAAACAACATGTCTTATCACGGCATCACTGAAAAATATCAAAGATAAATAAATGTTCAACAGCTTGAGATCGTCTAGAATTTGATGCCACGCATACACTCTCATGTTATATCCTTTGTCCGCAAGATCAAATAAAGGAAAGTTATAAATCAACAAATTTTGTGAAAACATAAAAACGGCCATTTTTTGGATCAATAAGTTCGCTTCAAGTAAAGTAGGAAGAGTATGGCAGTTTACCTGAATGATTTTTCCAATGAAACTTATCAAAAACAAATTTTGTTTTCTTAAAAAATGCTGGATCTCGGTTCAAACAATACTCGTGCAATCTGCAGGCATTATCTTAAAGGACCAACTCTGGCGCTAACGAAATAAATATATACATAAGCATATCATCAGGCACATTCGGTTATGTTACTGCACATTCGGTTATGTTACAACTCTGTCAGGCGACTAAACCGTCACGCAATCTGTCCGATTCACTGATAATACTCTGTTTGTAGCACCATAAAAGGTACACACATACGTAACTTACCATCAGGAAAACGTGTTCGTAAAATGGTAAATGGAATATTTGGTGATTCGTGATTCCTCATTATTTCGAATCCATAACATATACCTGGAAACAAAAACGAAGGCGCAATGTCACTGCAATAGTAAAACAAATTTTCGTTGGAGCTGTTCATCATGTAAATACCGTGGGGACAAAGAATACAAAATATTCCAGGGATCAAAGTGCCATGCTTCTTCTTGGGTATAGTGACTTTGGCACAATCTCCCTGCTGTGTCTTCCTATTGTCAAGAACATAATTCCCTCGTTGAACCAGTTCTGGCAGAGAAGGTAGATATCCATGGGACGAATTTTGAGACACCGCAGGTAAGTTGTGTGGCAAACGCCACTGACCGTCCTTGACCTCGAACGGACTAATCGCCATTTGTACCCATTCCTTTAGCAGTGGTTGAATAGTAATTGGAATTTCTTCGCTAGTCTCAATGACGTTAAACAGTAGGGGCACTTCTTCATGAAGAAGTTTTAAATCAGTGGAAAGATTGTCTTTTGGATTGGCTCCATCAGACATCCTTATCAAGAGGTCCAAAACTTCTTCTTTGGGGCACAATTGCGCATACTGGTTTGTCAGAAGCCAATGCCAATAACCTTCTGCACGAGTTTGGACAACTAGTGATAAATCCTTGTTTCTCTAACCATTCAAGTAGAGTCCTAAGCCCCTTGAAGATATCTATAAATACGAGAAATTATAGTATAAATGAGCTCTGGAGTGGTCATACAAAATTTTGTACTCGTGGTGTAATAAATTCTTCTTACTTCAGATTTTAATTTTGAAATTCGTCCCAACTTAGCTTTGAATCACTGTACTTCTTCAATAAAGCTCGCACATTTCTCCTGTTGATGAAATTGCGCATTTCAAACCTAGTATTGGACAAAAGAAAACAGGTTGTTATTTTTATAACTATAAGCTGTGTACAAAAACAAAGTGAGAGAAGTCACCATCATGCATAAAATGCTTTCTGATACGTAGATGAACACTCGTATTTACTAATTAGCAGACCTGTATATACTATATATTACAGATAAACTTCAAAAATACTTATCTTCCATCTAGCAATCCAGTATCAGACTCTCTTAAATTATTTGGTAAGAAAGTTTTCTGTATTCCAAGAGTTGTTCCATCCATCACCACCTTTGGGAATTCTTCCAAATAATTCACAAAAAAACCCATTGTCAAAATCAATATTAAGCAACCTTAATAAGAGAAAATTCAATAACTTAATAAAACAAGCGATCACTATCTCAATGGAATATTCATATTTTAAAGCTGAAAATGAAATGATGCTTACCGTATCATGGCAATGATAGCGAGACGAAACTTGGCGTAAGTTATTTCCTTTGGGAAATTAAAATTACCGAAGACACTTGCCTTTGTACATATGCAACATAATATTTGTACATAGGTAAACTGAACAAGAATAAAAAGAAAAACATTCAAAAGAGATAGGGCGAGAAAATTAAATAATGGACAAACGTAGTTACTAATGCTTCGGCAAATTTCATTAAAAGTACCTCGACGTTATGAAAAGCCGAATGTAATCTTTAGAACGGCATGAGATATTGCATATGATCCAAACCATACAATCCTGTTTTCAATGCCATCATAATGCTTTTTCGTAGCACAAGAGGAGCAAGGTCTACAATACACTAAATAATTTATTTAAGTCAAATAATTATGAAGCAAAGCGTAACCTATAACAAATCAGAACTTACCCTTCACATCATGGATTGAATAAAAGTACGCAACTGAACACACGTCTACGTACAACCATTCATCTTGAATAGAACGTTTATCCCACTCTGCACCACAAGAACAAATACCACTTTCAGATGGCGCCAAAATTATGACCATTTTTTTCAGGAAGATCAGTAAAATCGCTTGCATCATTCTCATTGCCTAAAATAATTAAATTGTAATATTTACAAAATGCTAGAAAGTGCTAAATACCATACCGATAAAGGAAATAGTATATGTAAAGCTAAAAGGATGTTCACCATTGCAGATTATCTTGCATACCTGTTTCAAATAAAGAAACCTTTTCTTTGCTAAGTGTAGCCAATTCAAATAGTCTCGCATCTCTGGTGTAATTCCAAAGGAACACTTTAAAAGTGCCAATGGAGAATCCATTTCATCCTCTTCAACGATTTGCATGGCTTTTGCAAGGGTTCTCACATGAATGCAATGAAATGACGAACAGCTGCAACATTTTAACTCGGGCTGGGGCGGCGTTACTTTTGAATACACAAAAGTACAAACCCCCCATGGACTATTCACTGGTTTTACAGCAATCCACTGAACCTCCCTGCACACTGCACTAAACAAGTCTTAAAATATGTAAAATTATTTATCTTAAGGTTGTATTATGTGTGTGTATGTGTATCCAGATTAATAATTATGATTAATTATGACTTCACAAAATCCTTAGAAAGTGCTTAATATATATATCAGGCACGTAAAGCTAATGGTGAATATGACTTTACTATTTTTATCATACATTTAGTTTATACTACTTAATGTATGTACAGTAGGTATGTGGCTATGTATGTATTTGAGTATGAATGTGTATACCTCAATAGTCATAAATAAATTCAATTTGCCCTGTTGGCTATCACCCTAATAGCTTTATAGAAGCTCCTGAACTTAGGCACAGGATGTATGGTAACAAATTGTGGGGTATTAGAAGGTTGAGAAACTATACGTGTATTTGTACAAAAAAGTTATTTTCACATAAAAAATATACTTCTTCAGGTTGCATCTCATGGTAGGAATGATCACTGAAAACAGACTGCATCATGGATGTGGATTCTGCATTCATAAAAGAAATTGGATGAGATAAATATGTTGTGTAAATAATCATTCACAAGTTTTAACAATATTTTGCTTGTAAAAGTTAACATCCACACCCACATGTAATAAGAATGTCGAACAAGGGTCTTGTAAAACACAGAAGGATGACTTCACAAGGGTTTGAAATGTACAATAAACTGATATTTAAGGATGAAGACATTTCCTCCCATACAACATGAAGAACTTTACATTGAAAAAATAAGCCAAATACAAATTTGAGACATTCACTTCATGCAATGTCAGATTAATATGCAATAAGTTCTCACATCTTTGACAAGGGTCGTCAAACATATAGTATGTAAGTGTAAGTCAAAATTTGGTGAAGCTGTTCAGACACCTTATATCCTGAAAGAGTAACACACAACACTTACTTTTTCAATAAAATCTTTGGCTTCAATACCAAACTTTCTATCATACACAACCAGATATTTTTCCATTGCTAATATGTGTATGCAACTGGGATATGGTATATCTGACAAGTATAAAAATGTTGTTTGGCCTGTTTTAATAATTTCATTTCAGTAACATCTATTTTACATACGTTTTTGAGGATCTAATTGTATATTATTAGGTAGGGCTTCAACAAATTGCTTTCTATTTGCATCACATGAGCAGCACAATATCCAACCGTAGAAATCAAGCAATAGGTGGGGGTATCGATGAACAAATACAAATGAATTATGCTGAAGAAAAAAATACATGCAGATTATAGCACCAAAAATAGAGTATTGAGTAATATCATTTAGTTGGGTATATACCCAACATTGAAATTATGGAAATAAAATTTGACATCACCATAATTGTTCTTTTGTTTGCATTATAATCATGAACAACAAAGGATTGCTGACGTGATATATTTGATGCAAAGTCAAACTGTAACAATAACCCAGTATAGTGGCTAGTGGGTGACAAATGACTCTGAAAGAGCAAGTATACAGTAATTATTAATGTTCACTGTTTCAAAAATATCTATTGTAATATATTTTTATGTTTGTTGAGCACATTTCTACGAGATGTTAATAAAGTTTTACACAGTGTCTCATGCATAAGCAATCAACAAGCATATTGTCAATTTATAACACATTAAAAACATGACTAGTGGTAAACAGTATAAAGTATAACTGTATAATTGAGAACTACTTGACTATGTTGACATGGTTGTTTAGATTCCTCTGTAATAATAGAGATAGATTGCTTGGTAAAAATATCTTCAGAATCCTACAAATAAAGACCATTATTTAATTTAAAATGTGTACAGACTTTTAATAAGTGTTGAAATAATGCATGCCTTCTTTAAATTACTTCAAAATTTTTTAGTTTTTTCTAGTGAAAGCAGTCCTACATATAACCACTTCCAATGACTTTTCATGAGAAACAATATCAATATGTACATTACAAACCTGTGTTTTGGTGGTTAACTCTTGGTGCTTGTCATAATTTTCAGCAATATCTTCACTTTGTTCATTCTACATATAAATTAAAAAAAACCCCATAAACATAGCGTATTTTTATATGTACATAGTTTTACAATATATGTAAACTTACCAAATCCCCAAATTCATTTTCTTGTTCGAAAAATTTAGATTAATATGACACACTGCTATTCTATTAACATATATGACATTGTGATTAAAGGATGTAGAGAATCCAGACATGAAATTGGTAAATGTGCTCAGAATAATTGTTTTTCCTTACACAACGTTGTGGGCATAAATAAATTTGTACAAATACTTTTGTTAATATAACTGTGGTAATAAAAATAAATTAATATGAAATTGTGCAACCAGAAACAATAAAAAGAACACTTTAAAAATTCCTACCGCATCATCTTTTTGTGTGTTTCCTTTCCTCTCCACGTTATTGTAAAAGAAGTCATTTGAGCGTTTGAATTTCTTCCTGAATTGATACATTTTGCAAGTGTACCCAAAAAATAATACCCCGATTTATAAAAACCAGTACTGCACGCAGTGGCGTGGCTAGCAAAAAACATTTGGTCGGGCTCACAAGGCGCCACCATGGTTGGCGCGGAGCGAGAAAATTTTCCGAATTTAAACTCCCTAGAACGTCGGAAACGGCTATCTTAGAAGCAAATGCGTGATATTTATGCAGGAAATAGAACCATTTTGGTTATTTTAAATTGCCGAAGGATCTTATAGTAAAGCAGAGAAACAGTTCAAAAATAGTTGCAGATATGTGATTTATTTTCTCAACACCACATACATAAATAGATACCTATGTACATCTTGTAAAGAAACTTTGACAAAAGAACCGAAAGGCTCAGATTTGTCATCAACAACTATCAAAAGTTGTGATGAAATTGTCGTGCTGAAATGACAATCATCATTGACTGCATTAAAAAGTTCCCGGAAAAATTCTCACATGCCATGGACGTAAGACATCATCAGCTTGCTATCAGCCATATATGAATACCTATTTGTATAAGAAAGCAAGTCTTCGTGGTTTTTCAATGAACTTCTTTACTACATCATCATGCAATGTGTTGGCGTCTTCTTTCTCTGACAGTATGTCTTTGTGAATGGAAATCCTGCAAAGAGAACTAAAACGTCCTTGGCTCATAGTATTTCTAAGATAATTTTTTTACCCTCTTCAAACAAGAAAATGACCTCTCAACTGAAGCACTTGTAATTGACAAAACCCCATTTATCTTTAACAGTTTTACAACTTCTGGAATACTAGATTGATAATGGAACTGAAAATATATTTCAATAATTCATCGCATGAATCACAGTGAAAGTCTTTATCTCTGTAAATAAAACAAAGTTGGCTAATTAGCATTGGTATGTCAAACATATCACCATAAACCTCCTTTAGAAGATTTATCTTTTCTGAGGGCACTTCACCTTTCCACATCTTAAACACCCTAGGGTTAACAAGGTCTAAAAATCTAAAACGCTCCATATCCTGAAATCGCTCAGTCAGCATAGTCACAATTGTGTCAAGAATTTCAAAATACATTTGTTTGTAATTATGCCGTTGGTCATACCTGGTTACTGGTGGTCCCACTTTCTCAACAGCCAGGTCGTACACCTGACAATATTCTGTATCATTTCTCAGAGAAGCAACAAAGGCCTTGAATCTCTCAAACCTACTCATTCCATAATGAAAGTCAGTGTCCTTGTCTTGCAAGATAGAATAAAGTATGGATGACTGCTCAAGAATTCTCTGGAAAACATGTACCAAGAAACAAAACAAGAAGCCATTAAGGTAGCCAAGTAAACCAGTAACCTTACTTAACGTTTCATCATCCCAACCTATTGGATTATCAGTAAGATTTTCAAATATGTCTATCAGTTTCTCATAGTTAGAATGCAAGACATTGATGACATGAGCCCTATAATACCATCTTGTGTCACCAGGACTAGGAAACTCAAGCCTATGGGATGATAGTAAATCTTTTCTTTTGGGGGGAATTGCTAGTAAAGGTGCAGAAAGCACTAATATTAACAAAGAAAATCTTAACAGGTGAGATGGAGGATGCAGCTTAACATAATACTAGATTTAGTCTATGGGCAGCACAGTGAACAAATTGAGCATAAGGATAAACCTGCTGAACTTGAGCTTGAACACCATTGAGATGACCAGACATAACAGATGCACCATCATAAGTCTATCCAATAAATTTCTCTTTCACATTATTATATTGACTTAACTTACCCTTAACCACTGATGATATAGCAGTTGCAGTCCTATCACAACTAACATCAACAAACCCAAGCTGTCTTTCAATGACACTTTCCCCTTTGTCCATTCGAACAATTACACTCAATTGTTCATTGGTAGAAACATCAGTTGCCTACATCAACCTGTATAGTTAAGAAAGTGCAGCAATATATTTCCTTTAAAATCTTATCCTCTATTATCTTATCAAGACAATCAATCAAATCATTTTGAATATCAGGAGAGACTCCAGTAAACCGCCCTCCCACCGCAAGGTGGGTTTCAGCAAGCCTTCCATGTAATCGCCTTTCAAAAACAGAATCCATCTTAGCAAAACTTTCAAGTAGCTCTCTATAATTTCCTCTATTCATGCTGCTACTAGATTCATCATGCCCCCTAAATGCAAGCTCTTGCCTAGACAAGTATAAAACAGCTTCTGTTATGGTTTTCAACATTTCCCTGTTTTGCCTTACCTCCTCGTTATGACGCTGAATCTCTTCACGTCTATTGTGTGACATGAGACAGTCGATACGAGGCTGAAAACCGTAGGTCTTCCAGGTCTTGTAGGCACCCATAGGCGATTTTGCCTTCTCATGCTTCTTACAATCGGATAGGAAATTCTTCATGTTTTTGAATCCCGTCTGCGTCCATGAAGAAGACGATCCAGGGGAAAATAAAAGACAAGGCCAACAGAACAATGCATTCTTTTCTGAGCTACCACAAAGCCAATCTTTCTTCGAGTACCAACTTTCCTGAAATTGGCCGCTGCTTTACGAGTATATTTTGCTCGCCTGATTGTCGAACAGAAAAGGGTTTCTTTTGTAGTTCACTTATTATATCGATTTCATTAGCCGAAGCCATTGTAATGTAAGTTATCACGATTTCCGAAGGTATATTTCGAGAGCTCAAACTTCAAGTCACGCTTTTGAAAATGAGCCCGACAAGATGTTGTTAAACGTTTGAGTGTGCTCACAGCTACTCTCAACCAATCAGATTACAGATATTCCCACTACAGATTTTATTACTTGGTCGGGCTGAATTTTCAGAGCCCGACTAGTTGTTGCGAAACAGCGCATTTGAGTTTGCTCAGTTGCTGTCAACCAATCAGATTGCAGATAATCCCACTATAGATTTTACTACTTGGTCGGGCTGAATTTTCAGAGCCCGACTAAACAGCGTAATGCCTGGCACTAGAAATGCACTAGTCATTGTTGCTAAGTAACGTTTAAAAATATGATAATTTTGCTAATAACGACGCAATTTGACAAATATTACACTAATAGACTGTGGATTACTCCAAAAAGAGTCGCAGAATTTAAAATTTTCGCAAATCCAATTTTAAAGAAAACAAATTTTTCATTTTTGGGAAAATATTTGGTCGGGCTTGGCCCGACCAGCCAGACCGCTAGCTACGCCACTGACTGCACGTGTTCTTGGATCGACAAAGTTAGCCGAGAATTAGTCTAAGTACCATTCTCCCAGCCAGACTTCTCCGATAGATATTTAAAAAAGTACTAAGCATAGTACTGAGTGACTGAGCCCTGTTGATCAATTGCCTTGCTTCAAACTTTTGATGTTGCAAACTCCTAAAAAATATGAATACATGAAGAAATATTGTTCTCATACATGAACTTTAAATAATGTAGTAAATGGAAGCCCTGAAATTTCTTTTTTAAGCTGCACCAGTCGGATGGTTGTATTTGTGGTTGTATATGCCATTTTACGGCAGCGAAACATACCACCACTGCAATTCCGCCATCTTTCCATGTTTTATTCCTTTTAATCACGTGACAATAAGGAAGTATGCCGAGCAATTGTGAATAGTGGAGGATTGGGTCGAGAAGAACCAAAACTTTAAAATTCTGAATAACTAATGTTGTTGTCGTCTTTATTTTGACAAAATTTTGACGATGAGAATTGAGAATTGACAACCCGACTCATTCTGGCCATCAGAATCAGACTCATGGTTTGTCCGTTTTGTATGTGCACTCGCTGCGAGGGTTAAAAGAAGTGATTTTTTAAATAATGAAAATCGTCTGAAATTCACAATGCATTATGCAATACCATAACTAGTAGGATGACTAAGGCATTGATCGATCTTGCTTTAAGCCACAGCCTCGTGGAATGTAAACATAACACAAGATATTAAAATAAAATCAAAAGTGAACATCGTAGGTTATATACTTTACTCATCCATTTCAGAATGCAAATTAACAATAAAATGAATTGAGGTCACAGAAAATTCTTTGTTTTTAAATGACAAACGAACGAATAATTTATTTGAATATTTATCTGAATATATCCCCGAATGGGCAAATAAAAAAAATTAAGAATGCCCAGTTGAAGCATTGGACGCATTTGAGAAAAAAGAAAAGAAAAAATCCGGTTTTCAAACATTGATTTGCCCGGCGGCTCGTGGCCACTCAGTTTTTATCACAATGACATCATACCCGTGTATCTTTAACTGCATAGACAACGGTTAAATGTTATCTATTGGTTAAATAAAAATAACAAATTATCCAACCATACATTTTTATTAAAAAGTAAATCATCAACATGAAATTTGTTCAGAGGTACAATACATAATAATAAGTTTGACAGAGCATCTTACAGTTGTAGTCTAATCCAGATGTCCTGTTTAAATGACAATTCATTTATGAAGATTACAAGTAGAATCTTAGAAAGGAATAAACAAATATTCATGATTGATTAGTATAGAAGCGTTCTTTATATTCTTTAATTGCAGGAGGTAAGACATTCCAAGAAATAGTACCGATAAATTTAAAACATCTTTTGCAATATTGGTACAAATTTATTTTTGGTAAATATAGATAATTTCTTAAAGATTGCCTGGTAGAATAAGTATACTTCTTCTGTAGAAAACTATAGTAGGTGGAAACAAGCAATCATCCTTGCGACCATCAACATCTATGTGCAATTTTCTCAACAGCTTTTTGAATTTACTATTAAAGTTTGAGTTGATGTATTTATTCAGGAACATTAAGTTTTAAAAATTGAATTCTGCAATTGAAACTCCCAACAATAGCTAAAGTTCCTGTGTTGGAATGCATAGTTATATTAGGCTTAAAATACAGTCCATTGTCAAATTTAGCGCATATTTTACCACTCTTTAAATCTACAGCACGAAATGACTCATCAAACACTCCAATGCAATAAGATTTGAGTACGATTAGGTCGGAGAACAAATAACCTGCATACACATCACGCAAAATTTCATTCACATTACCATTCTCGTGAACATTAGTTACATAAATGCCCATAACTTTGGTGTCTTTGCAAAATGCTATGACCGCTTGTTTACTATCACTTATACAGCATTTGAACTCTAGATCATTTACAGGTATCTGTTTCCGAACAAATTTTTTACTGACAGCTGTTATGGGTATTTCTGCGGTATGCCAAGGTTTCAAGTAAAGTTCATTGTTGTAATTTCCCCATTTCCATAATGTGTATTCTGTTTTGTTTACAGTTAAAATAACAGAATTATCAGGTGATACAGCTGCTGCTTTAAATTTTGAGCTATCGACAGGAAGTCTTTTGTTGTATTGTATCCCACCCTTGGTAATTCTAACAACTTGAACAAACTTTCCTTTGTCAGTACCAACTAAGACATCACCAAATGTTAAGATTTCTTTAGGTTTAAATCCAATGTTAACATGCTTTGCTTGAGTAGAATCTACAAAATTTTCAGATGAAGTTGATATCTTCGTAAGATGATCAGAACCATCCCATATCCACAGTAAACCATCTGACCACCAACATACTAATGCATTCTTCAGTTGCATTGGTACAGTTTGAATAATAGTACAGAGTTCCATGCTCCAAATATGAATGTTGACGTGGTCACCAACACTGAAAGCGGCAAAAAAAGATCCATCCGGTGAAAAACAACAACATTTAATTTCAAATTTCTCAAAGATAAATGAAGGTCTCCAAAGATGATCAGTTTTGAAAATTTTAAGCTTGGAAAAATACGGCACAACGTAAAATTCCTTACACGAGATTGGATGGACTTTGTTAAGATTCCTCAGAAAACATGGACACGCAACATTTGGTAAACAAAACTCGATTTCTCCTTGATCGTCGTATTTTGTCAACTGAGTATTTTCAGAAAGCTTTCCAATCTGGCTTGTATGATAAAAAATACAATCGCCATAATGGTGTGTTATCATTGAATGTAAACGTAGTGGATATTTCTTTTTCTTTGAAAAAATATCGATTGCCTTTGGGAAGTGAAAAACATACGAAGTCTCGACGAATTCTGTGACAAAGAACTCTGAATATTTCTCTTTGCATTGTAGTTTTCGGTAATCAACAACGCAGCGTCGATCAATTCTTTGCAAAGTTAATGAATTCCATGCAGTGAACACTTCTTTAGGAAGTTCATCGTCATCGTCTACATAGTCTGCTGTAATAAACAAAGCAGAATCTAAGAAAGAGCAATGATTAACGACATCATCTGACTGTAAACATGATAACAAACGTCCATTGTTAACGTCCCACAACTTTACTTCAGTAGATCCATCACTAGTCACCAGTCTATTTCCGGTAGGTGAAAAGGAGCAACAACAGATGTTTCCACGTACAAAACAAAATTCGCTTGATGTTGGATTGTCATTGATGTCATACAGGGACATAAATGTGTCTACATTATCCCACTCATCCAACTCTGAATCATCGAGTGAAGTGCCTAGAGTGCATCGTTGTTCGAAGTCTGGAAGTTCAAAAATAGATATTTGACCATTTTCATATCCTACAGCAAGAAGTTTTTCATTGGACGACACACAAAGAGATGTAACGTTAGCATGCAAGGAGACAGTCAAATGATGATGGTTTGTTAAATATGTTGAGTCTAAATCCTCAAACCAAACAAGCCTTCCTTGTTTCAATAAATCCCTTGCCAATAATCTTTTTTCGTTACTGCCATGAATTCTGTTTGCAATATATTGTAAATAAATTACGCATTTTTGAAACAGAAATGATTCAAATTCCATTTTCAATAACAAATGAAATAGTAGTTCCTCAAGTACATCTTTTTTCAAGAAAGTACGTCGTTCCTTAATGATTTCAAACAATTCAGACTGAATGGTAGAAGTTTCAATGTCCTCCACACCCATTAACCTTGCACAAACCACTTTGACATCTACTGCCAAGCTAAAGTCAACATTTTCGCCACATTTTGACATATGATAGATTCCATTCTTCAAAGCATATTTAATCATAGCAGTGTTCATCTGATCTTCAAAAATGTTCATCGACTTAATTTGTTCAAACACTTTCTCACAAGCACGCCATAAGAACTTATGACCATTTTTTGGATCAACTGTAAACTCATGCTGTTCGTAACCATCTGATTTCAACCAATCAATTAGAGAGTTGTGATATACGGTTAAATAATCATTGTAAACTGGCAAAATTTGAGATAACAGTTCAATGATTTTACTGCGGACTTCAAACTTGATGTCATCAGAAAAACCTAAATAGCTAAACAGTAAAGTTAATGGCTAAAACTCCCGACTGGCAGCCAACAATTCAAGAAATTGTATAAAATTAGTTTCTGAGATAACAGAGTTTCCCGGAATTTCTTTCGTTAAATCTTTTACTCTTTTGAATTGCTTTGTGTAAACACTGCTTAACCCACTAGGGACCAATTGGTGAATGTTTTCGTAAGTAAGCTCAATATTTTCTTTATTCAAGCTCAGTTGTGCGTAATACGCACAAAGAAATGATCCCTCGCATTTTCTAGCTAATGACCATAGAACGTAAGGATCTTCCTGCACCCGATCATTCAACTGATGTTTCAAATACTTTTCCAGGTCTTCTTCATTGTTTTCATCACGAGGACGAGTTGTAATTTCCACAGGATTCATGTCTTTCAACTTCCTTTGAACAGGAAGTTCTGGACGACTGGTGATGAAGATTTTAATCCATTTAGGCAGTCGGTCAAACTCTTCTGCAATCAATTCCAACAATTCACTTTTGCCATCAACTTGACTTTCATCTAAGGCATCAATAACCAAAAGCATTGGTTCATGACCTTCCAATGAATGCAATGGATTATTTAATAAAACACAGAATTTATCGGTGACTGATTTGTAGGAATGGTTTCTCTGTAATTCTTCATTCAGTTTACATTTAAAATCTGATATTGTATCACACATGCTACTAGCCAATGATTCTATCAACATTGAGGATTCCTCTCATCTGATCGATTATATCTGCAGAAATGAGAAGCAGCAAGTTTCTTCTTTTCAGAATATCGTCGACACAACTCAGCAGCAAACACACTTTTACCAACGCCAGGACCGGCAATCAAAATCATGACATTAGAAGCATCTTCACTTTTATCGTTAAACCAAGTGTCAAGTTTTTCAAATAAACATTGTCTAGTGCCTTCAAGGTATTTCTTGTTAAGATCTTTTATAACACCATTGAAATTACACTTTCCATGCTTCTTGAGATCTGAGCATATTTTGCCCTGTATCATTTCTTTTACTTCAACAACATCAGCTTTTGTTGCCATATTATGTTCCATCTCTGCAACATTTCTTTTTATTACTTTCACATCTTCTTTGATTTCTTCAGTGACATCGATTAACTTTCGTTCTTTTTCATACCATTCTTTTAACATCTCAATATGATTTGCCTCAGCGGTACTGAGGGGAGCTTTCTTTAATTTATCTATTTCAGTTTGTTGAATACCCAAACCAACCAATGCTTTTGAAATTTTCTGCCACAAGTACTCAAACTCACTGTCATCTACACTAGTTGTATTTATGTGACCATACACTTTGTTTCGATAAAACTTTATTCTTGCAATATTTGCTGAGATTGAAGAATCTGTAGAGGAAGGAAGTTCATTCCATCCACCATGTGGCGCTGTTATACAACATATATTTCGCAATAAGACAGTTAATAATGTGATGTCAAAGTTTTCAATGTCAGTTTCACCAATTGACGGGTAAAGAAGATCCCATTGCTCATTCTTGATGACTTTAAATTTCAAAGATGTTAGTAACTTCTTTGTGGAGGGATCTTTAAGTTTACCACCTAAACTTGATGGCTTTATTAAAGATTGCAATGTTGTTTTTAAGGCTTGGGTTCCTTTATTAATTAAAAGTTTACTCAAACGAGTAAAATTTTCCTCAATCTTTAAGTTTTTATATGGCGAAGCCATTTTTTATTCTAGAAATGTGGAAAAAGATTGTGAAAAAAGGTATAATTTAAAAGGTACAAAATGTTTACAAAAGTTAAAAGGATAAATTAAAAATAGTATTACAAGTCATTTATAAAGACTTGTGTGCTTCATTTCTTTCTCTAGATAAAAATTGTGTTCACTGCCTAGTGACATGACACAGTAATTGATCTTACATCAAGGCATTAAAATAGTAGAGTTGATAAAATGATAAAAACACAAAAAATCATATTTTCGCCTACTCGGCGCGAGAGGCAGCATTTACCTTGCGATAGTAACTCCTAGTTAATAAATAATATACCTTATTTGTCTAACAATCGTGTGGTTAAGAGAAACGTCATTCTTTTAACAGGATATATCAAACTGGTTTGCTGTGTTGTATAAATATTTGCTTATTAACATTTTGATAGGACTATATTACTGATGATTCTGTTCCAATTTAAGTTTTTGCTAGACAGCAGTTTAGCAGACACCCGAACCGCTTGTGACCGCGGGCTCGTTTTTTGCTTGTGATTATAGGGTAGGGTTTGGGTCAGCATCCAAGGTGTCCGCTAAACTGCAGTAACCCCCATAGGTCCCTAGCTTAACTCCAATAATATATATAAATTCTTCGTCATTTTTGACAATGTGTTAAATCCAAAGCGTCATCATTACAAATTGAAATGAAAATAAAGAAAACTATCTCCTATCTGCTTTACATTTCCCTCACCAAAACACAGAACACAGGGTGAGAGATAAACAACGCGACATATGAATAAAATACATAACAAAATACAAGTACGGACTGCACAGAGTATCAAGTTCCTTGTATTTTTTACCCAAACAAGATATATTTGACGTCTGTAATCATTAGAAAAGCGTATAAATGAATGATATTTTCATCTGCAAGGTTTTGTCTATAGTCACTAAAACAAAGCGCAGATTATACGCTCTAAATCATAGGTAATTAAAGAACAACATAAGTATTGACTTTACGTAAAACAATTCTATTCTTGATCTTTCGCATATGCGACTAGCACCGATGACACAGTCGAGGATATCACGACGAACAAACACCGCCTGCCTCACTCAGAAACTTTTTCAGTATGGCACAGCGGCTACCCACAAAAACTTACTAGTGATAAATTATATTATTGTTATAACACAGTATAACTTGACGTCTACACCTGCTTCCCCCCCCCAAAAAAAATGTTGTTGCTCCCCCAAATTTTACATCCTAACCGCATGTCTGCTCATATTGATAACACTTAAAGCGTGATTCAGTTTAAAGATGCTACGACAATTTATAAAAACTGAACAATTGATGAATGTTTTCTGCATGATGAGATAACGTAAGAAAAGTACAAATAATACACAAATCATTCATTACTTTTTGTATGAACTTCAATTTTGCAATTTTCATGTGTTCAAATAGAGAGGCGCCGGCCCCTATTATATAACTGGCCCAAGGCAAAAGGCCTCCTTGCCTATCACCTCACTGAGGGCCTGGCCTGGCAGTTAGTGAAATTTCTCGACTTTGTGTTGTTACACGATTTAATTCAAGTAACTAAATCAGTTAGACACGTTGGAAAACAAAACAAGTATCTTGATTTCAGTTTCTCAATGTACATGCTAAATCAAAGTTCATCTAAGAATAAATTACGTGCAAAATGAATGATGATGAAATATGGCCAACTCAATCCTTGTATCCGAAGCTGGCAAGATTTATGATTCACCGACCCATTCTCCTACCCAAAAACAAAAGCAACGTGAGCTTACCATCCAATCAAACAAGAGCATCTACTCAAAGGGAGACCGAGACTGATAGCTAGTCTCTTATCCGGAGATCACTCTCAAGTAAGGACATTTCACCACAGGCTCAAGCAACAATACTTAATTCCTGGCGGCCAGGAACACAAAAACAATATCAGGTGTACCTTAACAACTGGCAACTCTGTGCTAATAAACGGAATGCAGATCCCCTTCATCCAACTTTACAGGTAGTTCTAGACATTTTACAGCATCTTATTGATCAAGGGACGAGTTACAGTTGCATAAACTCAGCTCGAAGTATGTTATCTTCATTCGCTATTACTGAAGGAAATTCTACGATTGGTACACATTATATGGTTCAGAGATTTATGAAAGGAGTGTTCCATTACGGACCAGCACTACCAAGATATCAAGTGACCTGGGACACCTTTATTGTATTAGAGTATTTAAAGACATTTGCCGCAGTAGAAGACTTGACCCTACAACAGCTAACTCATAAGTTGGTAATGCTCTGTGCATTAGTCACATGGCAGCGTGCCCAATCACTCCACCTCATGAACCTCTTAACTGTAAAGGAAGAACAGGACTCATACATCTTCTATATCGACCAACTTGTCAAACAGTCTGGACCATCACGCATTCAACCTACTTTAGTGATACCAAAGTTCCCTGCCGATCACCGACAATGTGTAGCCTCAGTCATGGAAGAATATTTTAAACGCACTGCTCCCATTAGGGGTCAGGAAAATCAACTATTTCTTAGCACAATTCGACCCTTTCATAAAGTATCAAAGTCATCTATATGTCGTTGGATAAAAGTTGTCATGCAAGCTGCAGGAATTGATATAGAAACGTTGAAACCACATAGTTGAAATCTCCAATTAAAATAAGTTTTTTAACTTAATGTTGTATTTGCGTGTAGGCATGAAGTGTGTCCACATGACTTTCAAATCTTGTGGGATCTCTGCGGTAGATGCTAATAGAATGAGGAAATTGAACGAGACTTACCAGAAGTTGAAGTTCGATTGGGATTCTATTAGTATCTAATGAGCAGACATTACACACCCACCCATCATGTTACTGCCTCCCAGCATATCGTTCATATGCACATTTAGGCGGTTCATAGGGCAACTATCTTTGAAATATGACCAATGTACGCATGCGTAGTATCTCTCGTGTAATCTCTGCTCAAGTCTCGTTCAATTTCCGAATTTGTTTATAGTCATACTTCATACTACGCAATGCTTCGGTATCAAATTGTTAAGTTAGAAATGTAAATACAAAATCGCGGTTAACTTACGTAAAATTACCTTTGTTTTAGAAATAAGACGACCGTGTGACAAAATTATGCTTGCTTTAGTTCTTTACATGTCACATACTCAACAAACGATGAGAAATTTAATATAAAAACGCGACCACATACATATCAGATTAAAATGGTGATCATAATTCATACCTTATTGTAACATCAATCTTTTATCCATGTGAGTTTTGTTACATAAACACATTTAAATAACGAACGAAGATGAAGAGTGAGTCAGGATCTCCTTCAACAAACAGTATTAAAAACATTAATGACGTCTATGTAGAACATTCTAGTTATATAACTAAGTATACATCACTGACTAAAAACAATTGTTAAAGAAATAAAAATACATAAATAAGAACCTCATGCAGAGTATATAATAACATTGAGATTAGTCGAATTCCAAAGGACTGCTGCTAAATCTCATAAACTTTCACAAGTTTTAACTCAGGAATAGAGAATCACCTATTTAAGGCAGGATTCAAATGTCAATGATTAAGAAACGATTTTCGAAACTGTAAATGGATTTTCCCTTGATTAATCAAAAATTCCATACATTTATACTTTCGCATAAGTCAATTCATATTATAAAAAACCTTTGTTATTGAATAAATCTTTGTAAATCATGAATACATTTTAAACATCAACTGCAAGGAAAAGAAATTATTTATATGTTCAATAAAAAATACTTTAGATACAACAGTAAAGGATGCAATACAAATAAACCTTAAAACTGTTAAACAAACATGATCAAACGTATAATTTTAAAAGCTCACTTTTCTGCATGAATCAACATTTCACAAAAAATAGATTCGGTTGCGTTCTTTCTGTGTAAATACATTCTTCCTGTGTTTAACATTTGCTTATTTTCAAATTTTCTTAAATGGTTTGTTGTATACAACTATCAACATTTTGCTAGACACACAGAGATTAGTCAAAAGTGGCGTCAGCAAAAAGGTGATGCATGATTGGACATGCTATCCTCCTACATTTTCAAAGATTCAACCATGCTATTGCTATCCTCCCATACCTTTGAACAGGTTTTGCTTTCCTTTACCATGCAGCTTATTGTCAATAGTTAGAAAGTTGGTATATCAATTTAGATATGATTTCTCATGCATGTTTAGTCATACTTTATCGAGATGCTGCTTTAGCTAATTTGTTATGTCAGTAATGTAATTCTAAAATATCCCTTAATTTTTCTAAAATTACCTTCGTTTTAGAAATAAGACAACCGTGTGAACAAAATTATGCTTGCTTTAGTTCTTTACATGTCACATACTCAACAAACGGATGAGATTTAATATAAACAACGCGACCACATACATATCAGATTAAAATGGTGATGAAAGTTCATACCTTATTGTAACATCAATCTTTTATCCTTGTGAGTTTTGTTACATAAACACATTTAAATAACGAACGAAGATGAAGAGTGAGTCAGGATCTCCTTCAACCAACAGTATTAAAACAAATTAATGACATATATGTAGAACATTCTAGTTATATAACAAAGTATACATCACTGACTAAAACAATTGTTATAGAAATAAAAATACATAAATAAGAACCTCATGCAGAGTACATAATAACATTGAGATTAGTAGAATTCCAAAGGACTACTGCTAAATCTTCAAAAGTTTAACAAGTTTTAACTTAGGAATAGCGAATCACCTATCTAAGACAGGAATTGAATACCAATGATTAAGACACAATTTTCGAAACTGTGAATGGAATTTTCCCTTCATTAATCAAAAATTCATACATGTTTATTCTTGAATAAATCAGTTCTTATTATAAAAAAACTTTGTCATTAAATAAACAATTGTAAATTATAAATACATTTCAAACATCAACTGCACGAAATTATAATTACTTATGATCAATAAAGACACTGTAGATACAATAGTAAAGGATGCAATAACGTAAACATTAAAACTGTTAAACAAATATGATCAAAAGTATAATTTTAAAGCACACTGTGTTGCATGAATCAACATGTCACAAAAATAGATTCGGTCGCGTTCTTCCTCTGTGTAAATACATTCTTCCTGTGTTTAACATTTGCTTACTTTTCAAATTTTCTTACTTTAAAAAAAATGGTTTGTTGTATAACACTATCAACATTTTGCTAGAGACACAGAGATTAGTCAAAAGTGGCGTCAGCAAAGAAGGGAGGTGATGCATGATTGGACATGCTATCCTCCCTACATAAATTTTCACAGATTCCCATTTTTCCATAGACAAGTATGCTATTTCATCTCTCTCATACCTTTGAACAGGTTTTGCTTTCCTTTACCATACAGCTTATTGTCAATAGTTAGAAAGTTGGTATATAAATTTCGATATGATTTCTCATGCATGTTTAGTCATACTTTATCGAGATGCTGCTTTAGCTAATTTGTTATGTCTGTAGTGTAATGCTAAAATATCACTTAAGTTTTCTAAAATAACTTCGCTTTTAGAAGTAAGACGACCGAGTGAACAAAATTATGCTTGCTTTAGTTCTTTACATGTCACATACTCAACAAACGGATGAGAGATTTAATATAAAGAACGCGACCACATACATATCAGATTAAAAATGGTCATGAAAGTTCATACCTTATTGTAACATCAATCTTTTATCCTTGTGAGTTTTGTTACATTAACACATTTGAATAACGAACGAAAATGAAGAGTGCGTCAGGATCTCCTTCAACAAATAGTATTACAACACATTAATGACGTCTATTTAGAACATTCTAGTTATATAACTAAGTATACATCACTGACTAAAACAATTGTTATAGAAATAAAATACATAAATAAGAACCTCATGCAGAGTACATAATAACATTGAGATTAGTCAAATTCCAAAGGACTACTGCTAAATCTTATAAAGTTTCACAAGTTTTAACTCAGGAATAGAGAATCACCTATCTAAGACAGGATTTGAATGCCAATGATTAAGACACGATTTTCGAAACTGTGAATGGATTTTTCCTTTCATAATCAAAAATTCCATACTTGTATATTCTTGCATAAGTCAGTTCATATTATAAAAAATCTTTGTTATTGAATAAACCATTGTAAATTATGAATACATTTCAAACATCAACTGTACGCAATTATAATTACTTATGATCAATAAAACACTGTAGATACAACAGTAAAGGATGCAATAAAGTAAACCTTAAAACTGTTAAACAAATATGTGATTTTACAAAAATAGATTCGGTTGCGTTCTTTCTCTGTGTAAATACATTCTTCCTGTGTTTAACATTTGCTTATTTTACAAATGTTCTTACTTTTAAAAAATGGTTTGTTGTATACAACTATCAACATTTTGTTAGACACACAGAGATTAGTCAAAAGTGGCGTCAGCAAAAGGGAGGTGATGCATGATTGGACATGCTATCCCCCTACATAAATTTTCACAGATTCCAATTTTTTTCATACACAAGTATACTATTTCAACTCTCCCATACCTTTGAACAGGTTTAGCTTTCCTTTACCATGCAGCTTACTGTCAATAGTTAGAAGGTTAGCATATCAATTTAGATATGATTTCTCATGCATGTTTAGTCAAACTTTATCAAGATGCTAATTTAGCTAATTTGTTATGTCGGTAGTGTAATTCTAAAATATCGTTTAATTTCGATAAATTACCTTTTTAGAAATAAGACGACCATGTGAACAAAATTATGCTTGCTTTTAGTTCTTTACATGTCACATATCTTACAAAGATGAGAGATTTAATATAAAGAACGCGACCACATACATCAGTTTAAAATGGTGATCATAATTCATACCTTATTGTAACATCAATCTTTTATCCATGTAAGTTTTGTTACATAAACACATTTAAATAACGAACGAAGATGAAGAGTGAGTCAGGATCCTTCAACAAACAGTTTATTAAATTATGACGTCTATGTAAACATTCTAAAATCAACTAACATAATGACATTTAAAATTAGTTAAACTCTAAGGACTACTGCAAATCTTATAAAGTCACAAGTTTTAACTCTAGGAAAGAGAATCACCTATGTAAGACAGGATTTGAATATTAATGATTAAGACATGAATTTCGATACTGTAAATGAATTTTTCCTTTCATTAATCAAAAATTCCATAGATGTATATTCTTGCATAAGTCAGTTCGTATTATAAAAAACCTTTGTTATTGAATAAACCATTGTAAATTATAAATACATGGCAAACATCAACTGCACGCAATTATAATTACTATGATCAATTCAAAAACTGTAGATAAACAAATAAAGGATGCAATGAAACGTAAATTTTAAATTGTTAAAGCTTTAACTCTTTTCAATGACTTAAAATCATTTTACGCCTCGCTAATCCCTGTTACCGGGTTCATGTGATCAGGCTCTTAGTTTACTGGCTGCCGTTTGCCATATCGTCAATCCTATTGGTCACACAAAGCAATTTACTGGCTGCCAATATGGTAATCACATGCGTAATAAAGATATGCGTGGCACGAAAAATTCAATGGAGTGGCTCTACTGTATGTTCTCTATACTGTGGTTAAATGTTCTTTTTTATCTCATGTGATTTTTTCTTTGAAAATATGAAAATTCAATCTCTGCCAAAAATATTGGTAAGTTTATGCAACTTTACATTTGACCAGAGATGGTACATAGTAATTCTCTCAGTAAATATTGATGTTATGCAAAGTTTTCCTCCCATGACCACCCCTAAAGTGAACCTTCTAAACATGTCAAGAACTTTACAAGTTATTTCTTTTTGTTTTGAAAGTTAGAACTATGTTGACATTGCAATTTTAGTGGGGTGTCGATTTTAGGATTTTCGTCCGGATTGAAGAATTGGCACATGTACCATGTTGTTTGTCGTGGTCATTTTACACCTTCAAGTTGAGATTACTTCTGGTAAACGAAGTGCATAAAAACTCTTATACAAGTAGTTCTTGACCATTAACTCATTCATTACATGTTTGTAATTGATCATGCATAAATTAAACATTTGTTACTTTTTCAAAACTTGACGTTACTAACGTTAGTAACATCCATCTCATTGTTGCTAATACGTAACCGAGAGTTAGCATTGGTTAGTAACAAAGTGTTGTACTACGAGTCTACGACAAAGACACACTATGTTTCACCAATACTAATTTAAAGTCTAATCTCTAACGATTGAGTCTCACGTTTTCAAACGTCCTTCCATATTTGCTAAATTTCAACATGCTACGGTCGTTTACTGCATAAAAACAACAGCTTCCATTACTTAACTTTATAAAAGGTTATTTTATGCATGCACAGAAGCACAACACAAACAGAAATACTCGAACGCGCAACCAGAAGTAAACTATTTTGAGTTAACACGATAAATTCCATAGCATTTCTAATTCAAGTAGTGCTCTTTTAAATAAGTTCAAACTGTACGTGTTGCGTTGACGCAGGAATGTTGTTAATGAAGATCGTATCAGTCAGTAATCTGTCTGGCCATTTGTAATGATCATTATAGGGATCAACATTTGCTATGTGTAATGCCGTAGACAGTACTGCCAGCGACGTGCCCAGACAAAGTGATCGCATCTTTCCATCTCTGAGAAGTTATCTTATCCAACCATCTTTGAGAGGTTGACAGCATTGCCAAAACATCAAAGGTAACACATGGTGATTCATGGCCGTTGTAGGTTAGATACCTGCTCTCTCAAGTGCATCTTGTGAGTTATGTGCCGGCTGGACTTGTTCCTTAAACTCCTGAAGAACAGGGCAGTTAGACCAGGTGCTGTCTTTTCTGGTAGGTTAGTTGTCCCAGGGTCCCTCTGCCATGATTCACCGTTGTGCTACCTTCATCCTCCATCGTTGACGTCTGCCAGCTTTTCCTCACTATAATAACGTCTTGACAACACCACTTAACCTAGTTAAAAAGGGCTCTGGCGTTTTCGCTGCATACGGTTGGACGATAAGTGTAACTGCAACAAAATATTTGCAGATACGAATGAATCCGGATACGTGTAGACGGGGCCTAAGATGCCTCGTTTTCAATTAGGTGATTCTCAGTTAGTAATGATTGTTTCAGTGTAAGAAAAGTCATTAAAATTCAAAAATGAAAAGATATAATATCGAGCTTTTTACATAGTTTGAGGTATCAGATTACAGTGAATGTGTAAGTGTGATGGTGATGTATAGTTAGGGTGAGGTGTTGAGAGTAGAAAAGCTTAAGAGGGATGGGTGTTCGACTGTGTTGGAGCAGGATGAGATGATTTTAAAGTCGTCTGGAGAATCAGGGTGGTTGGAGGAGTTACTATGAGAAAGAATACTTGACATTAATGAGTTAGTATAGCTTGTCATTTTTGATAAAACCGACTACTATAACAAAAATGTCAGAAATCCTCTCCGATTCCTCCAAATTTGAACTCATAAACGAAGACCTTGTGAAAGTCCCCCTACAACGTCAAACCCAGGGGACATCATTACTCAAACAACACAAGAAAACGAAATCAATTGGTGAACAAACTTACAATACACGCTATCTGTAAGAAATTGCCACTTTATGTTTAACGACCGCTTATACCACGAAATTGATGGTGTTGTTATGGGTAGCCCCTTGGCCCTCTTTTTGCCAACATATTCATGTATTTCCATGAACAAAACTGAATGAAAAACTGCCCCCACAAATTCAAACCTATTCTCTACAGACGATATGTCGATGATTGCTTCCTCCTTTTTAAATCACTTGATCACATCATCCAAACCATAGGTTTTAGTGGTGAACACAAAAAAGTTTTAAGAGGTGTTATTTAATCAAAACATAGTCTAAATTCTTTCAAACCATCTTCATTGCGAATGAATAATATAAAGAGTGAATATAAAATAAGGAAACACAACACACGTAAGATGATTCTTTGTAAATATTGTTCGTGCTGTGAAATAATTTGAGAAAGAAAACGCTTCAAATGTAGAAAAATTTGATTGTAATGAAACAAAATGACAAAAGTACAAAACTGTACATATGATATGACCAAACGTACATTTGAGCCCGTGTTATAAAGTAAACATGGGGACATACTTCATAACAAAGCCACCGTATAGAGAACATAGAGCAGGGCCACTCCATTGAGTTTTTTCGTGCCTCGCATATCTTATTACAAATGTGATTACCATATTGGCAGCCAGTAAATTTCCTTTTTTTGACCAATAGGATTGACTATATTTCAAAGGGCACCCAATAAACTAGTTAAATATACAGCAGCCAATTGCAAAGCGAAATGAACCTACTGTTGTATATTCCTTTACTGTGGATATGCTGACCAGAAGGAAACAAGGAAAAACTTATATAAACACTATTGAGTGCTTTACAACAAATAGCGTTTTGTATAGACAACTGAAAATTACGTGAAAGAGCTAGGAGAGTTGTTTGCAACATGTTTAGGTCGGGTTTCGTTTGCCTAAGTATAAAGCTAATTTAAGATTGATAAAGAATTGAGATATTTTCATTGTCTAAGATAGAGAAGCAGGAGCGAGTGTATTTAGATTTTTTTTTCATTCAACTATTAACTTAATAAACATTGTATCCTCTTTAATAAACAGAAGATTGCTTAAACTCTCTATCGACGAAGTTAGAGCTGGCAATCCAAATGGATTCAAGTCAGACTCAGTCGCTGAAATAAGGAGCTTTGAGGATCTGAATGAAAAGCATCAATCATGTGATCACAATTTCCTTGAGCCATTAACATCATTGTGATCTTCTTTTGAAATGACCATGTTTGTAGAGCATCGTAATCACCTAGAAAAAATATCATACACAATATAAATTTTTATAATAATATGATATAAGTCTTAATAAATCCCAAGGCATACCTTTCTCTTCTATAGTCATTTATTTTCGTATACGATCAAAAAAACTAAATAGTATCGCATCTCACAAACAATTGTAAGCTTTAGTCTGCTTTTTCGATGAATTGAAAATAAAATCTTTGGCTTTTACTCTTCATACCATGTTCTACATTATTCAACAACTTGTTCCAACTAGGCATCTAACTTCTAATCCTATCTATTCTAAAAAGCACAGCGAGTCACGTGGCGTATTCTGTACTCTTAGATATTATGCCTCTAGAGCAATCAAATTACATGATCTCAATTTTAACGCAATTTTTGCCATCATCTGCATGCTACCTAACATTCTTGGACAGCCTATTTTATACCTACAAAAATCCACTTCCAATTTTTGAGGAGCTTAAGTAGAAACTGTTAAAAATAGCTTTACCTTTCATGATAACAAAGAACAAAGATAAATGAGTTCCATTTCCCGACTATCACCATTCATATAGATCTTAGCACATATCTTGTAACCATATTGAGACCTGTAAAATGGTGGACTGTACCAGGCATTCTTAACACCATTAATGGCGTCCCATCGCTTTCGATTGAAGTCGCTTAAGTAGAAACTGTTAAAAATAGCTTTATCTTTCATGATAACAACGAACAAAGATAAATGAGTTCCATTTCCCCGACTATCACCATTCATATAGATCTTAGCACACATCTTGTAACCATATTGAGAACTGTAAAATGGTGGACTATACCTGGCATTCTTAACACCATTAATGGCGTCCTGTCGCTTTCAATTGAAGTTGTCTATTCTCCAAAGTAACGTACCATTATAGTTGTGTATGATTTGATCTCAGTGCGCGCTCTTCACGTTGTGCTTCGAGGTTCGTAATGTTCACCATGTTTCTCACTATTGATTCGTCTTTTTGATCTAGACGCTCACGAAACCGTTGTATAGTGGAAAAATTGCCTCTCGCTTGTCGCTCAAGTGTTGCGATTCTTTCACGCAACAAGGAAAACCTCTGAAGGGA